TGCTGCTGCTGCTGCTGCTGCTGCTGCTGCAGGGGTATTCGCGGAAGGGTTTGGCGGAGTTCAACCTGGGGCGTCTGGGGGAGGCGGAGCGCAGCTACTCGAAGGGTTTGGAGCTGGAACCCTCGAACGAGGGTTTGCAAAAAGGACTGAAAGAAGTGCAGCAGAGCGGGGCGAGTTTGCGGGACATGCATGCGCTCTGGGCTGTATCTACAGCTCTCAACAGACACCCCAAACTCCTCAAGTACTCTCAACAAGATCCAAACTATTCCAAAACTCTCGCCAAACTTCTTTCCCAAGTCCAGGCCAACCCCAGCAGCCTGCGCCTCGTCATGGCCCAGCCGGTCGGTCTTTATTTCTTTATTTTTTCTTTTCTTTTTCATTTTTCTTTTCTTCTTCTTTCGCTCTTTTGGTTCCTTTTTTCTGCTTTTTGCTGCTTTTGGGCTTCTTTTTTTGTTTTTGTTTTTTGTGTTCCTCTTTTTTGTTATTTTTGTTTTTATTTTTTGTTTTTATTTTCGTTTTTTTGCTGCTTTTTTGTACTGGGGAGGGGCGGGCTTGGCGGGGCTGTGAAGCCTCATGAGAGGGTTCTTACGAATTAGGGTTTAGGGTTTAGGGTTTAGGGTTTGGGGTTTGGGGTTTGGGTGTTAGGATGTGCGCATTCGGGAGGGCATGACGGTGCTGCTGGGGGGCACGCTGGAGGAGGAGGAGGAGCCTGCTGCTGCTGCTGCTGCTTCGGGAGCAGCAGCAGCAGCAGCAGCGCAGCAGCCCCCCAAAGAACTCACCCCCGAGCAGCAGCAAGCTGAAGCCAAAAAGAAAGAAGGAAATGAACTTTATAAACAAAGAAAATTCGAAGAAGCTTTAAAAGCTTATGACGAGGCCATTGCCCTCGACCCCAACCAGCTCCTCTACCTCAACAACAAAGCCGGTAGGGTTTAGGGTCTAGGGTTTAGGGTTTAGGGTTTAGGGTTGGTGGGGTTTTTGGGTCCCCAGGACTTCGCAGGGCACATGATTAGTTCGGGGTTTTCGGGACTTGCAGGTCTTTTGTTTCTTTTCGTGATTAGTGTTTGCTGGGGTTTTGGAAGTGGTTTCATTTATTGAATTGAATTAAAACACTGTTTTGGGGTTTGCAGCTGTATACATGGAAATGGGGGACTTTGAGAACTGCCTGAAGGAGTGCGAAAAGGCGCTGGAGAAGAGGTACGAAGTGAAGGCGGACTACGAGGTGGTGGCGAAGGTGAGAAAAGTGGCAGAAAAAAGCGCAAAAAGCGGGAAAAAGTGGAAATAAAGTTGAAATAAATCGAAAATAATGTTTAAAATGGAATTAAAATCGAAAAAGGAGCCGTTTGACGTGCAGATCGGGTGTTTTTGGAAAAGTTGAAATTGCAGAATAAAAGAAGTGAGCGCGCGCGAGCGCGCGCACGGCGCTGAGGTGTATGTACACCGCAGGTCTACAACCGCATGGCCGCCTGCTTCGCGCGCCAAAAGGAGTTTGAAAAGGCAATTGAAATGTACGAAAAGTCTCTTTGTGAGTCCAACACTCGCCAGACAAGAGCAGCTCTTGCGGAGGTCAAAAGACTCAAAGAAAAGGCCGACAGAGAGGCCTATGTCGACCCCCAGAAGGCCGAGGAACACAAACTCAAGGGAAACGAGTTCTTCAAAAACAACGACTTTCCCAGCGCCAAAAAGGGTCCTGCTGCTGCTGCTGCTGCTGCTGCTGCTGGGGGTGGTTTTGTCGCACGGGGAAAGGGCTTTGCTGCTGTTTGTTTCTGCGTGAAAGTGCCTTTAATTCGTTATTGAAATTGGAATTCAAAGTCCAATTTAGAAAATATATTCATTTATATAAGTATGTAAATATATAAATATATAAATATATAAATATATTAATATATAAGTGTATATATATAATGCACAACTTGTATGGTGGAGTTTTTCTGAAAGTTTGCTTGCTTGTCCTCACTGCTGCTTCCTGCTGCTGCTGCTGCTTCTCACTGCTGCTGCTGCTGCTACTGCACACATTATCATTGTTGCTGCTGCACCCACTGTCCTTGCTGCTGCTGCTGCTGCTGCAGAGTACGACGAGGCCATTCTGAGGAACCCGAAGGACGCGAAGCTGTACAGCAACCGCGCAGCAGCACTTACGAAACTATTTGAATATCCTTCTGCCCTTAAAGTCCGAAATTAAAAATATAAAATCACCAAAAAGACACAATCCAATTGCTGCTGCTGCTGCTGCTGTTGCTGCCGTGCTGCTGCTGCTGCTGCCTTGCTGCTGCTGTGTTCTTTCTCCCATGTCGCTGCTGCTGCGTTGCTGCTGCTGCATTGCCGCTGCCCCGTCGCCGCTGCTTTTCCGCTGCTGCACATGCGCCGCGCTTTCGCCGCCGCCGCCGCTGCTGCTGCTGCTGCTGCTGCTGCTGCTGCTGCAGGACTGCGAGACCGCGCTGAGTCTGGACCCGAGTTTCGTGAAGGCGTGGAGCCGCAAAGGCACTCTCCACTTCCTTTTGAAAGAATATCCAAAAGCTTTGGAAGCTTTTGAAAAAGGCCTCAAGATAGACCCCAGCAGCAAAGAGTGTCTTGAAGGCAAAATGCAAGTCATACGCAAAGTGCAGCAGCAGCAGCAAACCGGAGAGGTCGACGAGGAGCAAATGAGACACGCCATGGTCAGCAGCAGCAGCAGCTGCAGCAGCAGCAGCAGCAGCTGCACCAGCAGTCGCGGCTGCCTTGGCAGCAGAAGCAGCAGCAGCAGATTCCGTCTGTGGCTGCTGCTGCTGCTGCTGGTTGTAGCGCAGCGGGGAGCTAATTCGCTTGTTAAATAATTTAGTTTTTAAACTAATTAATTAATTAACTTAATTAAACTTCGAATTAATTAATCAATTAATTAATTAATTAATTAATTAATTAATTAATTAATTAGTTAATTAATTAATTAATAATTAATTTGTTAATTTGGTTCTTCATGCTCTCACTCTTAAAAGAACCCCAGAGCTCATTTAGGCGCTGCTGAAATGGATTTGTTTTTTTCAAATTCATTTTATCTTTTGAATTAATGCCATGACTATCATTAATTAATTAATTAATTATCATTTATCATTCGTTTATTTATTTATTTATATTTATTATCTATTTATTTATTTATTTATTTATTTTTTATTTGTTTTAGGCGGATCCAGAAATTCAGCAAATTCTTCGGGACCCTCAAATGAGCATTGTCCTTCAAAACGCCCAGGAGAACCCAGCGCTTCTTAAAGAGTGAGCAGCAGCAGCAGCAGCAACAGTAGCGGCAGCAGCAGCAGCAGTAGCAGCAGCAGCAGTAGTAGCAGCAGCAGCAGCAGTAGTAGTAGCAGCAGTAGCAGTAGTAGTAGTAGCAGCAGCAGTAGTAGCAGCAGTAGTAGCAGCAGCAGCAGCAGTAGTAGTAGTACAGTAGCAGCAGTAGTAGTAGCAGCAGCAGCAGTAGTAGTAGTAGCAGCAGCAGCAGCAGCAGTAGTAGTAGTACAGCAGCAGCAGTAGTAGTAGCAGCAGCAGCAGCAGTAGTAGTAGTAGTAGCAGCAGCAGCAGCAGTAGTAGTACAGCAGCAGCAGTAGTAGTAGCAGCAGCAGCAGTAGTAGTAGTAGCAGCAGCAGCAGCAGCAGTGGCAGCACCAGCGGCAGCGGCAGCGGCTGGTGCTGCCTGGTGCTGCCGCTGCTGCAACAAGAGCTGCTGCGCGGGTAGCGACAGTGGCGCAGCAGCAGCAACAGCAGCAGCAGCAGCAGCAAGTTGAATTTGTTTGCTTTTTGCTGCAGCTACCTCCAAGACCCGAAGATCCGGGACGGAATAAACAAATTAATAACAGCTGGAATCTTGAGGGTGGCTTGAGGTGTATCTACACCTCGAGGTGTACGTACAGCTGGTGCCCATGTGTCTTGGCCAGTTTTATAATTCAAAGTCCAGCATCATCAACAGCAGCAGCAGCAGCAACTGCAGCACGAACAGCAGCACCACCAAGTACTGCAGCAGCAGCTCCTGTTAGTGAAATTGCAGCAGCAGCAGCAGCAGCGGCAGTTGCTTCAACCACTGCTGCAGTTGCTGCAGCGCCCACTGCTGCAGCAGCAGCAGCAGCAACTGCAGCAGTAACTGCAGCGGCAGCGGCAGCAGCAACTGCAGCAGGGGCTGCAGCAGCAACAGCAGCAGCAGCATCAAGTGTCTGTACAGCTCAGGTTTCTTGAGACAAAAAGGCGCCGCAGAGCGAGTCGTGCTGCAGTGCAACACAACAGCTTTATTTCTTCCTTAACTCATTTAATTATTTGTTTATTATTTATTTAGTATTTATTTATTATTTATTTATTATTTATTATTTATTTATTATTTATTTATTATCTACTTAATTTAGTTGTTTATTATTTAGTTTAATTTGTTTATTATTAATTTAATCTAATTATTTGTTATTTGTTCAGTTTAATTTCGTTTACTTTTTATTTAATCATTGAATTCAATTTATCTTTCGGTTGTTTGGCTTATTTGCCTCAATTAGCTGCCATCGTAATTATTTGTTTCTCGTTTGCTGCAGTTAATTAATTAACTAATTAATTATTTAATCAATCAATTAATTAATTAGTTAATTAATAAGTTAATTGATTAGTTAGTCAATTAATTAATTAGTTAGTTAATTAGTTAACTAATTAATTAATTAATTAATTAATTAGTTAATTAGTCAGTTGATTAACTAATTGTTTAATTAATTAATTCGTTATTTAGTTAGTATGCTAGGACCCATCTGGGGTGTACAGACAGCTCTGCGAAAGCTGGAAAAGAATTAAACTTCTTCTATTTTGTCTTTTGCCATTTTATTTGTTTTAAAAGTCATTTTAAAAGTGAAGAAGCTGCAGCAGCAAATTGCCTTGAGGGCTGCGGCCTTGCGGGCGCTGGGGTGTACGTACACCTGAGCGCCGGAGGCGGGAAAAGCCTTTTTGTCATTAATTTGTTCTATTCATTTTGGGAGTTTCTGGATTTTGGAAAACAAAGTGAATAAAAGATGTTTCTGCTTTTTGCTGCTTCATTCATCTATTCGAAAGGGGCCTCTGGGCTGCAGCGAACCCGCTTAAAGCGCCAGTTGCAAACCCTAGGGGCCCCAAACCCTAAACCCTAAACCCTAAACCCTCGGGGGCCCCAGACACGCGTGGGGCCCCGTGGCTAGCCGTGGCTAGCCGCTGCAGCTGGCTGGGGGAGCAGCTAGCTGCCGCGGGTGACCAGTGGTCGGGTGGTTTGAGTTTTGCTGCAGCGGGAAGCGCAGCGGGAGTTTGTGGGCAAAGGCTGTGCATGCAGAGGCTGGGCGGGCGCTGCGGGGCTGCCCAGGAAGCTCTGGAGGCGCTAATTGCGTTAAAATTAAATTTTAGAAATTAAAAGAAGAATTTAAGTGTCGAAAAGAAGGAGAAAAAGGGAAGTCGGGGGGCTAGCGGACGGCGCGGAGTCCAGCGGGCAGCGGCGGCAAGGCCGCGCGGGAGCTGCACGACGCAGCGGCTGTTAGACAGATGTTAAAGGAAAAAAGAAGTTTAAATTCGCTCGCGAGAATTAAAATGACATTTAAATGGCGGAGAAAGAGTCCGGAGTTCCGGCGGCTGCGGCGTTGGGGTGTACGTACAGCTTGGGTTTTGCCTCGCGACTTCGCCGCTGGGCTCAGGCAAACAACTGCAGCTAACAGTGCTGCGATCTGCAGGCTTCCCGCGGCTCAATTTGTCTGATTCTTTGCGTAGAGCTCAGTTTTAGTTTAATAAATGCAGACAACAAATTAATTCCGTCGTTTTCCGCTTTTTCCCGCCGCCGGGCGCCGCCGTGCCGCCCACCCGGCGGTTCTGCAGCCGCCGCCCCAGCTGTCTGTACACCTCACGCCACTCACCGCCTCTCCCGCCGCTCCTCTCCTTTCCAAATCTTTCTGCAAATTCCAAACTCCGGAGGCTCTTCCGCAGCGACGCGCCGCTGCAGCTCGCCAGCAGCAGCAGCAGCAGCAGCAGCGAGAGCCGCAGCAAAAGCAGCAGCGGCAGCATCACCCCCAGACCCGCAGCAGCAGCAGCTTCCTTCTCCCCAGCTGCTCTTCAGCAGCTGCTGCTTCTTGTCCCCCACAAGCCCCCATGGCCTGCAGCAGCCCCAGCCTTTGCTGCTCCCACTGACCAGCTTTTCATTCTTGCTGCTGCGCTGCTGCTCTGCTGCGCTGCTGCGCTGCAGCAGCTTCCCGGACCCGCCAGCTGCCTCCGCTGCAGCCTAAGCCGGGGCTGCAGCCTCGAGGGTTTAGGGTTTAGGGTTTAGGGTTTAGGGTTTAGGGCCCCGCAGCAGGCTCTGTGGACGCCGCTGCGCTGCTTGCTGCTCAAACCCCAAATAAATGCAAAACGGATTTGGAGAAGAAGCAAAAGTAAAAGCAGCAAAAAGGAACTCCGCACTCGCGCTGCAGCTCACAGCCCAGCAGCAGCAGCAGCAGCAGCAGCAGCATTTGTTGCTTTGGAGGCTGCTCGGCGGTGGGTGTGCTAATGTGAGGCTTGGGAATAAGGAAGAGAAGGGCTGACAGCAGCAGCAGCGGGAGCAGCAGCAGGAGCAGCAGAAGCAGGAGCAGGAGCAGCAGCAGCAGCAGCAGGGGTTGGAGCAGCAGCAGCAGCTCTTGCTTATGGCTGCGCCCCCTGCTGCTGCCCCCGGAACTCGGGGAGCAGCAGGGGGCGTGCGTGGGGTGTCTGGTTCGGGCGCAGCAGCAGCAGCAGCTGCTGCTGCTGCAGCCGCCGCAGCAGCAACAGCAGCAGCAGCCGGGGGCGCTGCTGCTGCTGCTGCTGGGGGGGGCGCAGTGGCCTGCGCGTCGCCACCAGCAACAGCAGCAGCAGCAGCAGCAGCAGCGCTGGGCGCAGTGGCCGCAGCAGCAGCGGCGGGCGGCGTGCCGTCGCTGTCGCGCGTGGGCCTGGGCGCTGCTGCTGCTGCTGCTGCTGCTGCTGCTGCTGCTGCACCTGCATGCATCAACGGAGTCTACAAAGTTGGCAGAAAAATCGGAAGTGGATCTTTTGGAGCTCTTTATGAAGGAGTGGATTTAAAAGGAAAAGAAGTGGCCATTAAGTTGGAACCTGCTGCAACAAAACACCCCCAGCTGCTGTACGAAGCAAGAATTATCAAGTTTCTTCAGGGAGGAAGTCAGCAGCAATTCAGTTTAATTCAATTCATTTAATGCATTTAATTCATTTAATTCAATTTAATTTTTAATTCGCTTTCGTTTGATGCATCTTGATGTAACTCATGCTGCTGCTGCTGCACCGTCTGCTGCTGCTGCTGCTGCTGCTGCTGCTGCTGCTGCTGCTGCACTATCTGCTGCTGCACTACCTGCTGCTGCACAATCTGCTAGCTGCTACTACTCCCACTACCACCACTCCGCCTGCTCCTCCTAGTCCTCCTCCGACTGCTGCTGCTGCTGCATCACCTGCTGCTGCTGCTGCTTCACGTGCTGCTGCTGCTGCTGCTGCTGCTGCTGCTGCTGCAGTAGGGATTCCAGTGTGTTACTGGTACGGATTGGAGGGGGAGTGGCACGCGATGGTGCTGGAGCGTTTGGGCCATTCCCTCGAGTTCCTCTTCAACGCCTCCCAGCGCCTCTTCAGCCTCCCCACTGTGCTGCAGCTCGGCATTCAAATGGTGCTGCTGCTGCTGCTGCTGCTGCTGCTGCTGCTGCTGCTGCTGCTGCTGCTGCTGATTGGGGGCAGGATTAGGATTGTGGTTGTGGCTG